CTAGAAATTTTTTAAGATGTCAGGAACAACGCCTGTGGAAATGGATTCATTGAAAATATTGGTAAAGATTGGCGAAAGTTCATATGCTGCTATTTTTATCATATTATTAGGTATATCAATAGATACTTTATTACTATCTAGGCCTAAAAAAAGATTGAGTACTTGAGTCTCTGTAATTGGCGACATAAAAAAAACTAGGCACTGCTGCATTACTAATGTAACTTATTGGTTGAAGGTTAGAAGTCATGATTGAATTTGCAAGATTTGGGCCTACATTAACAAAATATTGATTGAGCTGATTAACAATATCTTGTTTAGTTGTATATATCTTATTATTGATTGTAATTTTTGTGGGATGTATTTGTCCTTTTGTTTTGCGTTTGATAATTGACCCAATTAGTTTCCAAGTAGCTTTCAAATTATTTTTACACTTCGCAAATTGTGTGTTATAGTAGTAATTTTTGCTCTCAAGTTTTATTTTATTTAGTTTGTTTGAATATCTTTTATATTGATTTACTTTTTCTATATTGTTGCTATGAAACTGGGTACTATACATTTTTTGTTTAGTTTTTATGGATTTTAATATTCCGTCAGTAATCCAGGGTTTAATTAGTTGCTTTTTTTGCTGAGTGATGCTTGTTTTAGAGGAACATGTTTATTTACCAAATCTTGGATAACACTTATTATATTTACGGTAGATTGGTTAAGATCGCCAGTTGTGCTAAGTAGTGAATTCCAGTTAATATTTTGCATGTCATTTATATATGCTTCTTTACTAAAATGTTTGTAATCTCTGTAAAATATTTTTGCATTGTTTTTTTGCATGCATTTTTTTGTGATACAAAATACTGGAAGATGGTCGGATATGTCCAACAGACCAATACTGGTTGTTATATTTGAGATTGGTTCATTTGTGTAAATATGGTCTATTAAAATCTTAGTATGGTCGGTTAGTCGTGTTGGTTTGGTAATAACAGGGGGTATATTATTAGAGTAAAGCATGTCTAAATACTTTTCAGTTGGTTGATGAGAGTCATATTTCAAAAAATTAATATTAAAATCACCAAGGAGATATATATCATATTTACCCTGATTTAATTTTCTAAGCAACTCTTCCAATTATTCCGTGAATGTATCTAGCTTTAACTTAGGATGTCTGTATATACAACCAACATCAAACAAGTTTGATACGTGAGAAAAGGTTGCATGAGGCAAAAAACGCAGTAAAATGTACGCGCACACGGTGAGCTATCGGCTGAGCTAACAGGCACGAGTAACTTTTTGCTCAGCAGATAGCTCTCGTGTGCTGCAGGCTTAACATACAAAAAGGCTTCACCCCAAATCTGTCTGGTACTATGGAACATACTGCGCAAATGGCTAATATAATCAACAAAGCTCAGATAAAACAACGTTCACTTGTTATCACACTACTTGACCTCAAAAACGCTTTTGGAGAAGTTCATCATAACTTAATCCAATATGTCCTTGGCTATCATCACATCCCTAATCACATGAATAATTTAATAAAAAGCTTATACACTGATTTTAAAACTTCCGTAATTACTTCTGAGTTCCGTACCCATTTTATACCTGTTGGCTGTGGTGTATTGCAAGGTGACTGTCTTAGTCCTCTACTATTTAATATGTGTTTCAACACATATATTCAACATATCAAAACTGAAAAGTACCGCCAGTTCGGTTTCTCCCTCCAACGTACTCCTTAATCCAATCCACTGGTTTCAGTTTGCCGATGATGGAGGGGCAGACATGATGCTGCGGTTATTACTGGTCAAGAGTCGGAAAATCAACATCTCCTTAATCGATTCTCTATCTGGTGCCAATGGTCCAACATGGTTGTTAGATATGTTTGCGATGTTACTCTGAGTGCATATCCACACCGGGCGAGCCCGAAAAACATGCCCGGCCACGGTGGGACTCGAACCCACGACCCCCGGAATACTAGCCCAATGCTCCTCCAACTGAGCTACGCGGTCAGGACGGTTCGAGTAAGTGATATTTCGGAATACTAGCCCAATGCTCCTCCAAGCTCCAATGTAGCTCAGTTGGAGGAGCATTGGGCTAGTATTCCGGGGGTCGTGGGTTCGAGTCCCACCGTGGCCGGGCATGTTTTTCGGGCTCGCCCGGTGTGGATATGCACTCAGAGTAACATCGCAAACATATTATTCACCTGAGTACACAACACCAACACAGAAAAATATTCATATTACTAGAACACATTGGTATTGAAGGAACTAGATACTGTTCCGAAATATCACTTACTCGAACCGTCCTCACCGCGTAGCTCAGTTGGAGGAGCATTGGGCTAGTATTCCGGCCGCACTGCATGAAAAGCCAAGTATTCAGATGTGAATACGTGCGAATATCAATTTGAATATGATGAATATTCACACGTATTCACTGATATTCACTGCGAATATCCTCGGAATATTAGTAGTATTCAGATGTGAATACCTTAGAATAAAACGCACCTCATATCCTCACCTAGAATACGTTTGAATATTGTGTGAATATTTTTGAAGGCATAGTATTCACACTTGCGTACATTATTAAGTGATTTTGTGTCGATATTAAATAATCAAGATATTATTTTGATCAAATATGTGTAGTGATTGTGATTATATAGCTAAGTTTTGCTAAACTGCGCATCAGAGTACTTGCTTCCTAGTGATTCTGCAATTGTCTGGCAGTTATCGAGAATTGGGATTCTACTTGGTTGGTTGACTAAACGATTGTTTGTTGACTAGACGATATTTTGTTTTTTTAATACTTTCTATGTCATCATGTCATGCTAACTTATATAAATCTGAGTGCGCTGTATGCCCCTGAACTTATCTCAAAATTTACGGTAAATAAATATTGAAAAGAATAATATAAATTTACGTACATCGCTAGGCGTATTAAGGGGTTATAGATATTTACATATACACGGGCCAGACAGAGCTCGGACGGAATAGACAATACTAGCAGAAGTCTATCTTGAGTCAGTAATGAATGAAAATTATCTTGAATGGAAATTTCAAATTTTCGTAATGGCTAATTTCCTTCACGACATTTTGGCGACATTATTGGCGATATAAAATTGCGGCGCGCAAATTGTAACATTGATAATAATCAGTTTATTAAATATCACTCACCTGCAAATTCTGCAAACAAGAATTTGTCCCACTGTTTGAAAGGGGGAAAGCATTGTTTTACAAAATAATATAACGATATTGAATGGAGCTATATGTGGTGGAATTGCAGATTGCCTTAAATACAAATATATAAACCCTGGAATTGTTGAAATTTCGTCAAATATCAAAACATGATGGCTGATGACAGCATGTTGTCAGCAGCTCACAGCTGGTATGTTGATATACAAAATATTAATAATTGACCAAAAGGCTGGCACCATAGAATAGGAAATAGAAGGGCAACTCGAGTGTGAAATTTTAAATTTTGCATGTTGACTTTGATCACCAGTATTCTGGGCAGTATTAAAACACTAAACTGTCATCAAATTGAGAGGTTATGCATGCCTTGCCCACTACTATATGTTGCCTTCATTTCCTATTCTATGATGGTACTAATTATAAATTCTACTAAATTGTACTAAGTGGCGGCAGCTGATTATTTACTGCTCAGGGGGCTCGATGAGGAACTCTGCAGAAAATTTAAATGGAATTCTCAAAGCCCCCCCCCCCTTTCCGTCCCCACACCTAAGCAAAAAAAAATTCTGAGACCCTCTCCAAACTGTTAGTGAAGCATTTCATTCCTACAGTCAAACCGGGTGTTCTCTTGCGTGCAACATTGCAATATTTTGTCCCGCAATATTGCAATTTTGATAAGCAGGTTGCATGATCTGAGAAATTGCTGTGCTGGTCGAGTGGTAATATATTACAACCTGAAATAAACAAGCAGAAACTCGATGTTTGGAGCGAAGGCCCTTGCTTAGTTACTACTAGGGCCCTTGCTTGAAACATCCAGTTTCTGCTTGTTTATTTTAGGTAGTAATATGACTACTCAGCACAGCAATTTCACATTGGTACTACCCACACTAGTAAAGACAGTTTTAGGTTGCTCTGAGCAATTTGCAGCCGACGCAAACAAATTGCAAGTTGAAATTCACAAAAGATTTGTAAACAAAGCCTCTGATTGGATTATAAGAAAGATGGAAGCCAAACAAATAGTCCGAGCAACTGGATTGGTGCTTGCAATTTGTTTATGTCGTTTGCAAATTCCTCAGAGCAATCTGCCTATCAAAATTGCAATATAGAACAGCAATGTATGCTATAAATATTTTTATTATTTTATTATTATTAATATTGCAATGTTGCTTGCAAGAGAACATTCAGTTTTACTGTAACATTTTTAAAAACATATCACACAGAGGCTTCAGTGTGATCATAGTCTCTCAAGATATGATAGTTGGGAATCCTGGCAAACTTCAAAGCCAGAAATTGAAAAAAAAGACCTTTGTTTGATGATGAACTGTACCTAGCTCACCGTGCACAAATCCTTTGTCTCAACTTCATGAAATATTATTATTCATCATGGTTTGAATGATAGAATTCTCCCTCATGAGTAAAATTGTCTGGCGTTAGACAGAGTAGAATAATAAAGTAGGGTGCATCTGGGTGCATTGCCATTTAAGGGGTCTT